GCCGCGCTTCCGTGGGGGGAGCGGCTGGGACCTGCGGGCTGGGGGGCACTCAGCTGCCCACCCTCATTCCGCAGAACAATGCTGCTGGCACTGTGCTGTGAGAGCCGCCTCCTGAAACAGCGCCCTCGGGGGGCTCAGGCTTCCCCTCTCCTCTGGCTGGGGTGCACTGGCAGAAGTGGGGGCCCTGCACCTTTTTCAGGGGTGTCCTGGGGCAGGAGGCTCACCTCCCATTCCCTCTGTGGGAGCATTTTCCACTTTTGCTGGGATCCTGGCAGCGGTCTGTTTCAGGGCTGAGATTTGGCACTTCCCCCCTGTCCCCACATCAAAGCAGAGGGGACACATTTAGGGTCCCCTGCCCCCAAACTGCCTTGTTAAATGGTGGATCAGGGTGTGCCCCTTCCCACTCAGATCAGGGTGTGCGTGTCTGAACAGCTTCCCCCCTGGAGTGCATTTCTCTCTCCCCTCCCTGCTCTGAGAGGCGTTGGAGTGTGCGTGTAGGAGAGCGCTTGCGCGCCCCAAGACCCTGACCTTTCCTTTCACTGTGTGCTCATGGGAAGGCTGGCTGGGGGAGGAGAGTCTGGTTGTGGACAGCATGCTGCGCTGCTGTGGGAGTGGAGGCAGCCACTTCCGCTCGCCTGCAGCCTTCTCAGAAGGGCGGGGGAGTAACTGGAAAGCAGCCCTCCCCGGCAGAGTCTGACTTTGGGCAATGTGCATCCTCTGCGGTGGGTATGAGCCCAGCCCAGCCCATGCCCTGTTCCCTCCTGGCAGCTTGCCTGGCACATGGGAATGGGATTGCCAGCGGGAGGCTACTGAAAGCGTAGCCATAGCAACAGCCAAGTAAATAAAGCACATCTGCAACGGTAATCCGGGTGGGTGGGGTGGAAAGCAGAGGCTGGAGGCTGGGAACTGGCAGCCCACGTGCCCTCTGGGGGATGCGGGCGCCTGTCGCTAACACCTGGCTGTAGAATGTGTCCGCATGTTAAAGGCGGGAGGGCCAGCCCAGGGGACCTTCCCAGAAGCCTCTGAGCTCCCCCGCCTTTTGGAAATGTTCATTGCTGTGAAATCCAAACTGGAAGGCAGAACGGGAGGAAGCTTCTAGCTACCTGGCACCCAGCACTGTGTAGCTGCCTAGTGAGAATCAGTGCAGGGGCTGGCAGGCCTGCACTCCGCCTGCTGCTTCTAGCATTTGAATTACAGGGAAGCATTGTGCCCCAGCTTGGCGCCTGGGTTTCCTCCCCTCTGCCCCAGGCTGTTTCAAAAGGGCTAGTCCCCACATGGCCACTCTCTCCTCCGCATGGTCGGCCAGGGACTGCGGGGCTGAAATGGCCAGATGACAACGATCGCTTGCTAACAAACAGGTGTGTTCGTGGGGTTGGGGGGGGGGACATCGCTTCCTCAGCCTCTGCAGCAGATCGTGTAAGGATTGTTCTCTCCCTGGCATCTGGACAGATCCAGGCTGGCAGCAGCTGCGTGCTCCCATGCTAACAGACCTGTGCTTCTGTTTGTCTTCCTTTTCCCTTTCCTGTCCAATAGCTGCTGCTGGAAGAGCACGCAAACAGCGATCCCAAACTGGCACTTACAGGAGTCCCTATAGTCCAGTGGCCCAAGAGAGACAAGGTAAGAGATGGGGCCATCCCATGGCTGCTGGTCATTTGGGTTCATGGAGCTGCTCTCCTTCCTATTGCTGTTTCTGAGGAGATTCCAGTGGTGGAAATAGAGAGCAGAGCCCTGGAGCCTACCTGTCTGGTGACCCTCCGGGGGGAAGGGAAGTCATGCTCCCATCAGCCCTTCGCAGAGCCGCTTACATGCAGGAAGAGGGATGGGAGGAGGCAGGGAAAACGTTATGAAAGCTCCCATAGGCTGAAATGTTTGCATAACTTATTTGGCAGATATGCAGGAATAAGCAGAAAGGCCTACATTTTAAAGGTGACTCGGAGTTCAGTACATACCTTATATTTTTTAATTGCCTGTAAGTTCAGAAGTGGAAATCTGGTCCCCAAAAGGGAGTGAGGATGCTGGATAATGGGCCACCTCTGGCAAATGATTACGTTGGAAGCGGCCAAGTAGTTTGCCTGCCTGCCGACCTCCCTACTGATTTGGTGAAAGATTCACAAAGCCCCCCACTCGTACCCTTTGGCCAGGTGGGTCTGCGGCTTACTCCTCACGGAGGTACGGGAAAAACTCAGCACCAGCTGGGATATGTCCCTTTTGTTCTGGCCACTCTTCCCATGGGCGTTGCTTTTAGAAATGTCAGAGTAGAGTGCCTCTCAGAGGAGATTTTGGAGACTGTACTGCACCAAAGAGCAACGCCTTGGTATAGTCAGGCCTGGGCCAAAAAGCCTTGCTAGATCGAGAGCCCTTACCAGCCCTCGCAGGCTGAACCTGGATCCTGGCTTCCAATGGCATAAAGCACTAGCAATTGGAGAGTTTGCTGTGGTCGTGAGGAGAAAACTGTTGCAGACGTTCTTAGTGGCTGGGACAGTTATAATCAGATTCAGATTTGGCACACTTTCCCACCCCCGGGCCCTGGGTCAGACAAGCCTCACCAGGGGAAGGCTGGAGGTCCTTAATTCCAGCTCCCGAGCTCCCACCATAGAGCCAGTCAGGACAGCCTTGCCGGGAGGAGCCAGCCCAGCTACTGGGTAGTGCAGTGAGCAAGGGCAACTGATGATCTGACTGCTTAGAGAGGCTAGCCCCTGGCCCTTCCCTTTCTGCATCCCCTCCCCTGCAGCCTTGTTTCCCCAGCGCCTGAACAGTGCAGTCACTGTGCCATTAGCACAGATGTTCTGGGCAGTGCAGTCCCGGGGGGTCAGCGGGCACCTACATTGGGTAGGTGACAGGAGGGATGGGCAGGGAGCAATGAGAGTTAGACTGGAGGTGGGGCCAGGCCACACCTGGATGTTTGGGGAGGCACAGCCTTCCCTACCTAGCCCTTTATACAGTTTTGGTACCCGGATGTGGCTCTTGGGCCAGAAGGTTTGCCCACGCCTGTCGGGGCCCATTTGCAGCTCTGACTCAGTGGAAGAAGAGATTGGGTCTTGGGTTGGCAAAGAAGGTAAATGCTGCAAATAGTCATTACCTTTCCTTGGCTCATGGTATGGAAGTGCCGGCTTCCCACCTGGCTGCGTGGCCCAGGCTCTAATCCTGTCTCCCCTTGGCTGCGTCAGTTCCCAGCTCTGTAAAATGAGGAAAACGCTGACCGGGCTGCGTCTGTGTAGTCCTTTCAGAGCAAGGTGTGAGATGCAGGCTGGCTGAGATGCTCCTGCTGCCCAAACGCAACAGAGCTGAGAGCCACAAATCTCCTGATCCGCAGGCTGGCTGACTGAGATGCTCCTGCTGCCCAAACGTAACAGAGCTGAGAGCCACAAATCTCCTGATCTTTGACCTCTCCTTTGTGCTTCCATTGCTAGCTAAAGCTCCAGGCCCGGCCAAAGGTGCGTCTGCCCACCATCCCCATCACCAAGCCTCACACCATGAAGCCAGCTCCACGCCCCGTGCCCGTAAGGCCCACAGTGTCGCCGATAGTGTCGGGAGCACGGCGGAGGCGGGTGCGGTGCCGGAAATGCAAGGCCTGCATGCAGGGCGAGTGCGGCATGTGCCACTACTGCAGGGATATGAAGAAGTTTGGGGGGCCTGGTCGCATGAAGCAGTCCTGTGTCCTCCGGCAGTGCTTAGCGGTGAGTTCTGCAGCGATTTACGTGTGGGGCTGAGGGAGCTGTGGCTGGCCACTGGAGGGGAGGGATATAAGTGAATCTGCTTGAGCCTTCTGCACCAAATCTGAATTTGACCGAGCAGAATCTGGGGAAATGCAAGAGAGCTCCTGCAACTAGCTATCTCCTCCCTCCCTCCCCCCAACCGTGAGGGCCTGTCTCCCTGGTTTCACTCTCGGCTTCCTTTGTAGCCCAGGCTGCCTCACTCGGTCACGTGCGCGCTTTGCGGGGAGGTGGATCAGAACGAGGATTCGCAGGACTTTGAGAAGAAGCTCATGGAATGCTGTATCTGCAATGAGATCGTTCACCCTGGCTGCCTGCAGGTGAGGTGGGCCCAGCAGCATGGCGGTGGGGAAGCACAAAGGGCTGAAGGGGGGTGCTAACTCTTGGGATCTCCCGTCTGCAGATGGACGGGGAAGGGCTGCTGAATGACGAATTGCCCAACTGTTGGGAGTGTCCGAAGTGCTACCAAGGCGATGACTCGGAGAAGGGACAGGTGAGAGGAGAACCGCTATCAGACCGCACCAGTGGGGTCCTTCTGGTGGGCTAGAATGCGGGCACTTGGATTGCCCTCTGAACACCCACCCCACTTAGTTCTTTTTGGGCGGGGAGGCATGGGGGGGAACCCATTTGGTTGTGGGGTTCTACACTCACTGGACACAGCTGCAGGAGCATTGAGGAGCCTTGGTTGGGGTCGTCATGCCATGGGGCCAGGCACGTGTGTTCTAGAGGTCACTGAGTGCTCGTCAGGCAGGTGGGCACTGGTGGAGCTGTGGCACCTCGATGGGGCCAGGTGACTGGCGGGCACTGGCGGATCTGCACATTGCTAATTTCCAGTGGAGCAGGTTCATAGCTCTGCCATCTCCACCCCCTGGCGTTCACAGAGAGCCCGTCAGCAAGCCAACGCCAGCATCTTGCAGAAGAAACGGCTCCTCAAAGGGCACTGGCGCCCAGACCCTGCCGCCAAGCAGCGAGCAGATTATGTGCGGCGCCGGCTGGCCAAGTGGAGGCTGGCGGCGCTGCCTAAGCGGCAGAACTACGGTTACCAGCTCATACGTAGAACCGTGCCCACTGCTCCCGAGAGCAGTGCCCCAGCAGAGGCAAGCAAGGTGGGGAATCCTCCTGCAGGGGTGGGCTGCCACTCGGGAGGCGAGGACTGTGTCCAGCCTGTGGGGGAAGAAGGCAGGTTTCCAACTGGCCGGGGAGACCTAGCGCAGCAGCACTGCCACTGCCGCTCCCTGAGACAGGTGTGGCCTTAGGAGCTGCAGTTCCAAGCCAGCGTCCACAGCTCTGCCTCACCGGTTGGTAGAACTCCAGATGTTTGACGGAGTCCTTGGGCAGCTGGGCTTGCAAATGGTAGAGGGGCTGCTGTAAACCAGACGTGGGCGAGGCCTGGTGAGCTTGCTGGGACCTGGGTGTCAGGTTGCTGTAAAGACACCCAGAGCAGGGATGGTTGGCTTGAGCCCCACTGCCCTTCATATTGTAGCACTCTGCTCCCTACCCTGGCTGCTGCAAGGCCCTGTTAGGGGAGCAAGCCTGCCTTATGGACAGTGCTGGGTGCAGGGTGGGATGGAGATGAGCTCTCCCTAGCCCTTCCTCCATAGACTGGGTGCTAGTGGACCCCTCTGTTCAATGCCCAGAGAAGGTGGCCTTGCCCAGGTGAGTGGGTCCCTGTATCAGTGCCTTGGCCATGGGTCTTGCCTGCTAGTCAGCTGGGCTGCTCTTGTCTGGGGCTAGCACTGATGACGGGTGAGATGCTAACTCCCCTCTCCTGGCTGCTTCGCAGAAGCGGAAGATGGATGAGAGCGACGAGGACACTGTGCAGGCCAAAGTCCTGCGGCCCCTGCGGAGCTGCGAGGAGCCCCTGACGCCCCCACCGCACTCGCCCACCTCCATGCTGCAGCTCATCCACGACCCGGCCTCACCGCGGGGCGTGGTGACCCGCTCGTCCCCAGGGGCTGGCCCCAGCGACCACCACAGCGCCAGCCGGGATGAGCGCTTCAAGCGGCGGCAGCTGCTGCGGCTCCAGGCCACGGAGCGCACCATGGTGCGGGAGAAGGAGAACAACCCCAGCGGCAAGAAGGAGCTGTCCGAGGTGGAGAAGGCCAAGCTGCACGGCTCCTACCTCACGGTCACGCTGCAGAGGCCGGCCAAAGACCTGCACGGCACCTCCATCGTGCCCAAGCTGCAGGCCATCACCGCCTCCTCCACCAACCTGCGGCACTCTCCCCGCGTGGTCGTGCGCCACTGCCCAGCCAGGACGCCCCAGCGGGCTGGGGAGGAGGAGACGGCCGAGGAGGAGGCGGTAGTGGAGGACGAGGACGAGGAGGAGGAGAGTGCTGAGGAGGGCGCGGCAGCCCGGCTGAATGGCAGAGGCGGCCGGGCGCAGGACGGCGAGGAGAGCTGGATGCAGCGCGAGGTGTGGATGTCCGTCTTCCGCTACCTCAGCCGCAGGGAGCTCTGCGAGTGCATGCGGGTGTGCAAGACCTGGTACAAATGGTAAGTGGGGCACGGTGCCAGCCCAGCCCTCGTCCAAGGCAGCGGAGCCCACCAGCTGGTTGGTACCAAATGGAAGATAACCAGAGCTGGGTGGGTTGCTGTAGGGAGCTCTCGGGGGAGGTATGCTGGTGCTGATGCTTGCTGTGCTGCTATTTGTGCCGCCCCGCTTCCCTGCAGTGGCTTGATTGGGCTATCACCAGCCCATTGTCCTCTCCAGCAGAGAGCACTTCCTGAGCGCCTCGCCTTGCTGGTGCCTAGTGTGGCCAAAGCTGCATTCTCCTCTGCTTTCCTGTGACTCACTCAGTGTGCACTACCCTCTGCTGGCAGCTTTGCAGAGCTGTCTCCTGGCTGTCCCAAGGGCGCAGTACGACCGGACTGGGGACTCCGGGCTCTGTGCTGTTGCAGAGAAGCCTCCCATGGGATCCTGAGTATCTCTTGCCTGGGGCTAACTACTGGCTCCCATCACTGTACTGGAGTTACTGGTAGCTTGTGTGAGAAGAGCTGGCCCTTCAGGCAGATCATGCAGTCTCAGAGCTAGTGAGGTGGGGAGGAGGGACCCATCTGTCCTTAACCCCTCAGAGATGGCACAGACACGCTAGATCTAACAGGCCTGTCAAGGTTGTGACCCGTGTTCCCTGTAAGCTGGGCGCTGAGGAGAGATTTCAATGCAGCACGCCCATAGCTAGATGTATTGTTTGTACTGGTGGTGGTGCACATTCACAAATGCCTTGGTGCGTATAAAATTATTCCACATGTGGATGGAAAAGTTTAGAGGGAACATTGGTTGTGACCTGTTAGCTGTTGGCCCAGTATTGCTTCTCTTCCTGGTGATTCCTTGTCCTTAGTGTAGCCAGCATGTTGAGAGAACTGACTGCCGTGCTGCTGGTTCCCAGAGCAGCCTAACGCCTCTGCTCTGATGAGTGAGCTGTACAGCTGGGCTCCTCTCCAGCATAAGCTGGAATGTGTCTCAAGACAGAGAGGAGCTGGGGGTGTATGGGAACAATCCCCTTTAAGAGTCTGCAGAGGTCTAATGAGCACAGCCAGTCCCCCGGCCCTGGTTTGGGCTTTGGCAGGTTACTGCTGGGTCTGTCTCGCTGGGGCTCTGGGCACTTTTGTCCAACTTGGTTGTCTCTCTGCATCAGGTGCTGTGACAAGAGATTGTGGACGAAGATTGACTTGAGCAGGTGCAAGTCCATCACTCCCCAGGCCCTGAGCGGCATCATCAAGAGGCAGCCGGTCAGCCTCGACCTCAGCTGGACCAATATCTCCAAAAAACAGCTCACCTGGCTTGTCAACAGGCTGCCAGGTCAGCGGGGCGTGGGCTTGTGGAGGGGGGAGGAGTTAACCTTTTCTGCATGTGAGTTGTGATGCCAAGGGTAAAGTGGAGCTGCTGTTTGTCCAGTAGCCCCACCGCTACTCTGACTAGTCAGCCCGCCCGCCTGCCCATGGGGGGCGTAACCCTGTGTCCCTTGTGTAACGTAGTATTGCTGCCATGTTCTTATCTTCAGGGCGTGTTGTGGCACTACCCACTCTCAGGAGTCCTTGTGGATCTCCTGAATTGCATGAGGAAGTCAGCCCTGGCAGTTAATTCCCTGTGTCCCCATCTCCCCAGCATTGAAGAGGAGTTCTCCACAGCCCTACCCTTACCAGGATGAGCTGGGTTTTCAGGCTCTGTGTATGCACCAGCCTGGCCTTCTAGCCCCCACCTGCAGCAGAGAAGTGAAGTCATTGGAGTGTGTTGGTGGGGCTGTGGACAAAGGGATGTTTTGAAGTTCAGGTATCTTCCAACTCACTGGCTCCCCCTCTTCCTTGCAGGCCTGAAAGACCTCATCTTAGCAGGCTGTTCCTGGTCTGCAGTCTGTGCGCTCAGTACCTCCAGCTGCCCCCTTCTCAGGACCCTCGATCTTCGGTGGGCAGTAGGAATCAAGGACCCTCAGATTCGGGACTTGCTCACGCCTCCAACAGACAAACCCAGTATGTTGGCTCCTGGGTTGCACCAGAGTGGGCACTGTGGTTGCAGAAGGGAGGATCTTGGGGCAGTGTTCAGGGAGGCAGGGCCGTGGTTCGCAAGGAGGGTGTCCAGGCGTGGTGTTCATGGAGGCAGGGCTGAGGTGAGCAAGGGGGGTATTCAGAGAGTGGGGTGAGAGCTGTGGCTGGCAGGGGATAGGGTTTTTCCTGGGGATCAGTGTTAGGGCTGTGGTCCCCAGTAGGTTTGTGGGGTGGTTGGGCTGCACTGACTTACCAGAAGTTCACCTCTCAAGGGCAGGCGATGAAGTGGGAGGTGCTGGCCTGTACCAGGTGGGAATGCCGCAGGGGCTGGCCAGGACCTGATTCTGTTCCACACATCTCTGCAGGTCAAGACAATCGCAGCAAACTCCGCAACATGACAGACTTCCGGCTAGCTGGCCTGGACATCACTGATGCCACGCTCCGGCTTATTATCCGCCATATGCCCCTGCTCTCACGTCTCGACCTTAGTCACTGCAGCCACCTTACGGACCAGTCGGCCAACCTCCTAACGGCCGTGGGGTCTTCCACACGCAACTCGCTCACAGAGATCAACATGGCAGGTGCCTGCAACCTCTGCACCCCTCCGCCGGTGCCCTGCATTATGCTAGACAGGGTCACTGCTCTGCCCTCCTTTACCCTTGCTGCAGTGGGGGTCCATGTTTCTGGGGGCCAGTGGTAGAGGAGGAGGGTTAGTTTCCATGTTGGCTCAGTCGTGGCCTTCACAGCCCAGCTTTTGAAGGATGTGTGAACTGGGGCTGAGTGACCCCCAGCAGCAACACATTAAGTCATTAGCCCTAAGAGGGCTGATTGGAACCCACCATTCCCATTCTGGGGGGGGGGGGGGGGCAGGGAACGTCCAAACAGACGAAAACCTTCATTCCATGCAAGATTGAGATCAAAGTGCCAGCTGATAGCTGACTCTCCAAGCTGCCCGGACACCAGGCAGCCCTTTCAGGCTCTCGGGCATGCAGCCTGGACTCCTCGCTTGTGCCGGGGTTGGCAGGGCCAAGCTGCGTTCCCAGTTTTGTGGCAGGTGACCAGGTGTGTGGGAGGAAAGCACGAGAGCTCTTGGAAACCAGGCAGCTTTCCACTAAGCAAACTTATCCCCATGGAACACTTGAATTTAGTGAAATAAGCCTTTTCTGACAAACGTTGGCTGACAATTACCAGCCAGATCTACAAGGTTTCCCTTAGCGACCAGAATTCACCATCTCCCTCTTGACAGCTGCAGCATGGATGGTGTAGATCCACTCTAGGGCAGGTGGAAAAGGTTAAAATTCAGGGACTGCTCCTTCCCCTAACCTATCCCACGTTTCCAGCTGCCCCAGCCCCCTGCCAGACTTGTGCCAGCTTCCTGTGGGGTGTGCAGGGCCCTTCATGGCAGAGATAGAGTGCTTTGCGGTAAACCCTGTCTCCTCTTCTCCTGCCAAGGTTGCAATAAGCTGACAGACCAGTCCCTGCTGTACCTGCGGCGCATCTCCAACCTCACCCTGATCGACCTGCGAGGCTGCAAGCAGATCACCCGCAAGGCCTGCGAGCACTTCATCTCAGACCTGTCCATCAGCAGCCTCTACTGCCTGTCCGACGAGAAGCTGATACAGAAAATCAGCTAGAGACTTACCCCAGGCAGACTGAGGAGAAGGAAAGATCCCATCCCACCCCTCTCGGAGAGCCGCTCCTCCTCCCCAGCCCTGACCTGCTGTGAGGCTGGCAGCCTGCACTCCTCCATCACCCACCTCTGCAGGCAGGGCATCAACCAGTCTGATGCCACTGTCTCTCCTCTCTCTTCCTGGGACTTCAGCAGGGGAAGGGGTCCTGCCAGGCTGGCCCATAGCTGAGGAGGAATGGGCAGTGGCCAGGGGTGCGCGCTGCAGCCTGGCTGCTCTGTCAGAGGTTGTGCAGAGGTGTCTGCACAGGGAAATGTGCCCCTCTTTTCTCCCCCCGTGGCACCCCAAAACAGATTTCACTTCCTGCCGAGTGTGGGCAAGGGGAGCGCTTTGCCCCGGAAAAGGGGCTGGAGCTGGATGGGCTGAAACAAGCGTGCTCAGTCTCTCCAGTGCCACTGCCATGTGTGTCGCTGTTGGCCCTGCGGCTTGTCCTACTTCGCACGCATGCCACGTCTCTGCCCTGACGCTTGTCCTCCTCTCGCCTGGCCTAGCGAAAGTGACCGGGGTTACCTCCTGCTGATGTGTCGGGGGGGCAGCTGGCATGTGGTGAGCAAGAGCCCCATGGCCGTACGCGCTCAAGCCTAGGTGTCTCTTCCATGGCCAGCCAAGCTTCCGCTTCAGAGCAGCGCTGGCCTGCTTGGAGCATCATCTGTCCACAGCCCCCTCAGGATGAGCGTCCAGGCCTTCTGGAAGGGTGAGGGGTGGGGGGCCTGCAGGGCGCCAGTTCCATCAGAGCTCAGGGAGGACTCCAGAGGGGTTTCTAGATCCTGCACAGCGTAGGCTGTGTGCTCTCCCCACCCCCGTCAGGCAGGCTAGTGTCATTGAACGCTCTTGGGATGCCGCAGCCAAAGGAGAGGCTCCTTCTCCATCCTGCCACCTAGCGCGTCGCTGTCGGCTCCTGAATTGGGCAATGTGGAGAGGGGCGTGACTGGCCCTGTCCCCCTACCCCTTCAGCTGCCGCTTTTCCTTTGCAATGAATGGTCGGTCCAAAGAACCCTCTCTCTTGGGCAGCAGAGAGCTTTTTGCACTTTAAAAAGAAAGGTTGGAATCTTATTTTGGGTCATTGTTATTCTCTCCCCCCTCCCTGCCGAGTGATTGGACGCTCCCCCGACTGAGCTTGTCGATGTTTAATGCACAGTTTGCACTCTGCTTTCTTCCTCCCCTCCTCCTGCCCCCCAAATCCCCCCTCTCTCAGCATACTGATAGCACAAAACCAGCCTGCCACGTGTTCCCCCAACCCCTCTCCAGCCCTGCAGGGGAGAAAGGAACTCTCTAAGCAGCAGGAAAAGGGGAGGGACGAGTGGTTGTGAAACCTCAAAGGAGAATCGACCAGATGCACCCTCACTGCTTCAAAAGCAATAAGGGAGGCAGAAGCAGCTGTCACCCCTCCAGCTCTCCCCGCAGCCTGCTGGCTCTGAATGCTCTGGCACCAATGACTTCTGCTGCTGCAGTGTTGGCTGGGGGTGGGAGATGTCTTTGTTTAGATCCACTGAACCCCCACTGGGGGTTCAGGCGCTGCGCTTCCCCCTCCCCCCCGGCCTCCATAGCCTGAGCCTGCTTGCTTGCTGACTGGAACGCGCAAGTGTGATGAATTCCGCAGTGCCTCGGTACATGGGAGTTTTGCCACAGTTGATTAGAGTTTTGGGCACACACACAAAAGCCCTCTTTGTTGTTCTCACTGGCCTAGGAGTGGAAGCTTTCTGCCATTTTGTTTTTGGTTACTCCTGTGGAAAACAGAAGAATCGAACTACTTATTTTTGTTGCTTTTAAAGGAAGGCAGGGGAAGCTGTAAGCAGGAGATCTAAGTGCATCTGACCTGGGGGACCTTCCAGCCTTTGAAGATTTCTGGGCTGGCTTTTCAGTTTGAAATACAAAAGCATCTTAACTACCATCACATGCATTCGGCGCTGAGTGGATCAGTGCACCAGGGGTGTCCGTGGTAGGCAGGAGGAGGAGTTGAGCTGATTGATGGGTGAAGGAAGTGGTCAGTCTTTAAGTTTGCTGTCTCACAGCCTTCTCATACAGCCCTCCGCTAAGTCTGTGGCTTCAGAGACTTAAAAATCACAGGTGTGAGACTCATTCCTGTAACTGGCCACCACCTTGGAGGGCAAGGGATGAAAATCCACAAAGGAAAGAAGAAAAAATATATATATATATGAAATCACTTAGTGATTAAAAACAAACCTTGCTCCCTAAATAAAACTCCCTGAAGAAAGTCACTATTGGTTTAAAGGGTTTTGGTTGTGGTTTGTGTTTTTTTTTTTTTTTTTTTTTCCCCCCAGAGAAATATTGTAAATATATATTTTTTTGTTGGCGATTTAGAGTCCATCTCCAACATTTGTGCTTTAAAATTAAATGTAAGCATTAAGGGTAAAAGAAAACAAGTCTTATGCTCTTTGGGTTGGGGGTTATGATGTGGGGGCAAAGGGAGGGGGAGCTAGTTGGAATTTTTTTTTGTTTTTATTTTCTCTTCTAAGCATTCTCCAATACTGGTTTTAGAGAGAATCTTTGCTCATAACATATTACCACATGAAAGGAGAGATGTTTGTGGGGGAGGGGGGGAAGATACCAGCCTCTGAAGGGAAATATTTTGTTTCTTGGGGGTGGATTTTTGGAATAAAAGTTTAAAGAAAACACTGTATCAGGTCTGCACGTTGTTTGTGTGGGGAAAGGGGAGTCAAGTCAATGGGCCTACTCAGATCCCTAGTTTCACTGCTGTCATCCTTCAGGTGACCGGAGGAGCATCATAGTCATTCCAGGCAAATTATTGGACATATTTAGCTTGTCCTTTTTCCATTAAGCTGGTTCACTTGTCAGAGTCCTGCTGGTTCTATGATTGGAGTCTTCAGGCTCTCGTGAAGAAGTAAAAGATGAAGCGCGTGTTGTGTATGTTCTGCAGGTCATCTTTCAACTCCATAGAGGTACCTCTAATGCTGAACGTCCTTTGCATGCTTTAGGAGACTGTAGGCTGGCTCCTTTCACTAGCTCCTTTTTACCTTGGATTTCACTGAAACTTGTTTGGGGGTTTTTAGCAGAGAAGCAAAGCTGCAGTTGCACTGAAGCCGAGAAGTGCTTTGTGGCTCTGGTGGATGGAGCTAGAGAGAACCAAATACTACTGCTATCTGAGTTAAAATCCCCACCACCTCCCAGGAGTCTGGATTCACAAGCTGAAAGCGCTCACTGCTGGTATGTCTCTACAGCATCATTTGTCCCTACCCTTTCCTTAGACATCTTGTGCCTGTTTCTGACCTATTATCTGGCTGTGGTGTGCAATTGTGTAGTTTTCTGAGACTGCAATACTTTAACTTTGTGACTGTTTATTCTGCGACACAAAGGAGCTATCGCTACATGGTATGGTTGGTGCCCTCTGGCCTTAAACGTAATCACTCTGCATGTGGAATCAGGTAAGGTGCCTCTGTGTATCCTACACTGTTCTCTGCTACCATGCCATATTGCAAAGTTCTCTACCACCATGCTGGAGTCTTTTTCAGAGGTACCGTTGCCCTCGTTTCTCTGCCTCATTGAACTCGTATAGGAGAGGTGGGCTATTAGCCAATAATGTCCTGCTCAAATCTCTTTGCCTTTCTTGGCTGAGGTATTGCACCAATTTAGCACCATCTGCCTGTTGAATTTTTAACTGAATGTAATTAAACATTTATAAATTACCAAGGCCTCTGGTGGATTCTCCATGACTGGCCACTTTTAACTCAAGATTAGATGCTCTTTTTCTCTGCTCTTGTTCAAACAAACATTTTGGGGCAGTTCTCTGGCCTGTTACTAGATTATCACAGTCAGTCTCTTGCCCTTCAGATCAGTGACTGGACAGGCACTTACCTTGCCTCTTGTGTCATTACCACTTAAACCAGGCTTAATAGTGTGGCCATGTGATCATGCTAATGCCAAGTGTTTGGAATGACTTTCAAATAATGACCCTGGAACAAAAAATTGGAGTAGGCGCGAGATTAGTCGGGAAGTATTATCAATGAAAAGGAGGAGTGGACTATTCTACACCAAGAATTGGATGACCTTTAGAACTGGACTAATAGAAATGGGATGATATGCAATAGTATGAAGTTCAAGATCATGCACTAATAAAATCTGCTATAAGCTCAGTTTGGAAATAGCAAAAGGAGAAAGGCCTAGGTGTATAGCTGATTGTGGGAGGACTATGAGCCAAATGTGGCTGTGAAAAAGGCAAATGACGTTGTAGAATGAATCGGGGAAAGATGATTTCCAGAAGAGAGAAGAATGAATATCACAGAAGGAAGCAGGGTAAAAGATGTCTGGAACACTCTAGGCAGTTCTGGTCATCCAGGTTCAAGATGGATGAATTCAAACTGGACCAGGTGTGGAGAAGGACTGGATGTGATTAGAGATGTGGCTTACAAGAGGAAATGGAAGAGCTTGTCTTGTTCAGCTTTAATAAAACCAGGGTGGCTGAGGGAAGAAGATGGATTGCTGTCTCTGAATACATCAGGGGTATAAATATCAGTGAGGGAGAAGAGCTGTTAAAGCTAAAGGACAGTGATGGTGCTAGACTATTTCATGACTGGGATTATCATCACAGGCTTCCTGTGATTGCAGAGAACCTGGTGTGATGACCTCAGAAGGCCCTTCCACTCCTAGGTCCAATGCTTAACTGAAATCTAACCTCTTTTCATCTGCTCCTTTCATCCATTCACTTGGGGTTTGGGTAGGAAGAGCAAGCAAGAGGCTCTGACCCAGTGTCGTCTGACTCCTGCAGCTGCTGTTTGGTTCTGTGAGCTCTTCATAGAATTATTTCCTTCCTCTTAACCTCTATTTCATTCAGGCTGAGATCATGTCAAAACTTTCCTTCCAAACTTTTGTCTCCCCAGACTCCTGACTTTGCCCAAAAGCAAGCTTTTTGGCATTGAAATCTTTCTTGCCTGGGCTTGGTGAGGACTAACGTGAATGTGGAGGGGAAATCTCACTTCCATTGCACTCATCTCTATATGAAGAGTTATCAGTCTAACAACATAGGGAAGCAACATGTTCGTGACGGCTACAGCCTAGGTTCCCTCCGAAGGGATCAGTGGAAACTGAGGCATTGAACAATGAGAATTCACTAGCCCCTTCCATTCACTTTGGAATAGTTTATTATGGCAGCATTTAGGAGCCCCAATCATGGGCCAGGGCCCCCGGGCACAAGGTGCTGAACAAATATCACAAAAAGATGCTCAGTATCCCAGCCCCTCTAAATGGTCACTCATCTACCAATGTACATGGAATGGGTTTAGCCCCTCCCCTTTTAATACCTGTTTCACATTGTTCTGGATATTTACTATCTAGCTGGACGTGCTGCTCGGACATATTTTCTGCCCAAACAATCTTCTCTTTGGAAGCAGCTAGTTCCCTGTTCTGAATGCCAAGAGGAGCCAGGCGGGGCTGCATGACAGTAATGCCTGGAGAGCCCTGTTGCATGATGCGCTGCACAAATTCACAGTGACAGTCCCTACCCAAAGAGCTCAGTTGGAAGAGACAAAGCCATGAAAGGGAAGCAGGCCCAGAGATGGCAATTGAGAAAAGGAATGCTTTCAAAAGCCATGGGGATTTAGAGTCTGAGGTATCTAAATCACCTTGGAAAAGGAGCCTGGGTCCTGAGTCATTTGCCATTTCCAAAAACATTGCCTTCGTGCAGCATCATCCAAGAGGGCAGTCAGCAGTGCCAATCCACGGGGTCATCTGCTTTCCTCAAACATTTGCGCACACAGTCTCTGCAGCAGCAGCTTTGGTTCTGTGTCGGGCTGTTTAAACAGCTGTGTATGTAGGTACTGTCCCATGGGCTTTTCTGAGCAGCCTGCACACTTCTTTCTGCTTGGGTTTCACCTTTAGAAGTCTCAGGGGTACAGAGCCCAGAGCATCTGCCTTCTCTTTTGCTGAAGAGTCTGCCTTCTCTTTTGCTGGGGAGGTCACTAAGCTTGTATTGGAAAGGGCAGCCGAGCTTCATCAAGATCTTTCCTCGGTCTCAGGCAGCCAGATTAAACTTCTTAAGCCAGGGCAATAAAAAACATACCCTTTCAGATATCTTGCTGCCTTGCTTCTGCAGTATTCTTTTCAGAAGCAGACTTACCAGGTGAGCAGAATGCAGCATTGGGAAGGGTGATGGGGTTCCAGCTAGGATCACACCAGCAGCTCCTCCAGACACAGAGAG